GTGGGAGTTGAAAAAAATGCTGTCTGGGGCCACGATTTAAAAAATCCCGCATCTTAAAAAAAAAAAAAAAAAATGCGGGAATTTTTAAAAAAAAAGAAAAATTGGTGGCGCTCCCTAAAAAAAATTTTAAAAAAAAAAATATAAATGAAAAAAAAAAAATTCTGCAAATATGTTAAAAAAAAAAAAAATAAAAAAAATATCGATGTAAAAAAAAAAAAAAAAAAAAAAAATCTCTGTAAAAAAAATAAAAAAAAAAAAAAAAAAAAAAAAAAAAAAAAAAAAAAAAAAAGTCAGTGGGGGCGGGGCAAAATTCCCAAAATAATAAAAAAAAAAAAAAAATCCTGGGGGGCCAAAACCCAAAAATAAAAAAGTATTAAAAACAAAAAAAAAAAATAATATGATGAATAAAATAAAAATAAAAAAAAAAAAAAAAATGATTGATGAAAATGAAAAAAATAATAATTTTTATAAAATAATAATAAAATAAAAAAATAAAAAAAAAAAAAAAAAAAAAAAAAAAAAAAAAAATAATAATACATTTTATGAAAAATGATGATAGTAATAATAATAATAATAATAAAACATTTTATGATGATGATATAATAAAAAATAATAATAATAATAATAATTAAAAATTAATGATTTTGAAAAAAAAAATAAATAAAATAAAAATTTTTTAAATGAAATGAAAATATTAAAAAAATTTTTTTAAAAAAAAAAAAAAAAAAATAAAAAATAAAAAATGATGATGAATGATGATAATAAAATAATTAATAATAATTTTTAAAAATGATATAAAAATAATAAAATTTTGTAATATAATAATAATAAATAAAAAAAAAATTTTATATAAATGAAATAAAAATAATAAAATATATAATAATTTTTAAAATGATATTTAATATTAATAATAATAATAATATAATAATAAAAAAAATAAAAAATAATTTTATTAAAAAATAGTAAAAAAAATTAAAAAATAAAATAATTAAAAATAAAAATAAAAAATATAAATTAAATTATGAAAAAAAAATTTTAAAAGTAAAATAATAATAAATAATAATAATAAAAATATTTATTTAAAGATTTTTTGAAAAAATTATAAATAATAATATAAATAAAAAAATAATAAAAATATAATATAAAAAAAAATTTAAAATAATTAAAAAAAAAAAAAAATAAAAATAATAATAATTTTATTAAATATGATGATAAAAAATAAAAAATAGTAATTTAAAATGAATGAAAAATAATTTAGTAAATAAAATAAAAAATAATAGTAATAAAAAAATAATAATAATACATTTTATGATGATAATATAATTTATTATAATTTAATAATAATATAGTAATTTAAAAATAAATTTTTTGTTTAAAATAAAAAAATAATAAAAAATATATAAAAAAAAAAATAATAAAATAAAATTTTATGATGATTATAATAATTGATTAAAATAAAAATAAAAAATTTAAATTTTTTTTTATGATGATGATAATAATAATTTAAAAATAAAAAAAATTTTATGATGATTGAAATAAAAAATAATAATAAAAAATAAAAAAAAATAATAAATTTTATATATAATAAATAATAAAAAAATAAAAAATAATAATAATATTGATTTTTTATGATGATGATAGTAAAATAATAATAATAATAGTAATAATAAAATATATTTTATGATGATGATGATAGTAATAATAAAAATAATAATAAAAATAATAATAATTATTAATATATTTTATGATTTAAATTGATGATAGTAATAATAAAATAATAGTAATAATAATAAATTTTTTGAAATGATGATAAAAGTAATAATTAATAATAATTAGTAATAACAATAATAAATTTTATGATTATGATGATGATTTAGTAATAATAATTAATAATAATAAATTATAAAAAATGATGATGATGATGATGATGATGATATAAAAATAATAATAGTAATAAAATAATTTAAATAGAAATAAACACCTTTCATATGTAAACAATATTTGTTTAGTCCGGAGTTCCCCCCTTTTTTTATTGGCCCTTGTGATGGGAATTCCCAATTTTGAGTTTGTTCCAGGCCTGAATCTTGAATTTGATTGGTTGCTGTGGGGCAGTAATGACTATTCTTAGCACTAATGAGATAATAGATTTTATCTCCCATTTTCTCGGATCCGGATGGACTCATTTCCAGGCTGTACGGTTCCAATCTACATTATTACATTATCGGGAACAATTATATCATTACAGACGCACATTAATAATCTACATTATCGCTGGGAAATTTATTTTCTTTGTCTTCAGGTACTTCAGAAGCTCATCCAACAATGATGATAATTATACTTCTACCGAATGATATACATTTCACCGACAACGTTGTGGGTTATCTCCGTATGCAGATCCCAACACCTTCGTAATATTTAATGGCAATAATAATAATCCGAGTGGCGATGTCTCGTATCGTCTTCATTTTTTGAGAGGTTTGAGAATTTTTTTAAATTATTTTTGGCTTGATGGACAAAGCGAGTCTTCTGGTTTCCCCCGTCCTCCATGCTACGCTACGCTGTTCTTTTCCTAAGTTAAGGATGACCAAAAAAAGCTTTGACTAGATCCATCCAGACTTTATATTTGTTTCACGCACTCGTCGTATTATTGGCTTTGAACCCTTCCAGAACATGGTTCTGTCCTACACAGCCCTCGTCCTACATCCATGAAAGACCAAAAGAAGCTTTGATTGGATCACGCAAGGCTTTATATTTCCCCAGTCCACACACAGCCACCAATCAAATTCAAGATTCAGGCGTGGCCTGGAGTGTGAAGAAAAACTCAAAATTGGGATTTCCCATCACAAGGGCCAATAGGAAGGGGGGAACTCTGGACTAAACAAATATTTGTTTACATATGAAAGGTGTGTGATTTTATTATTATTATTTATTATTATTTAATTATTATTATTATTATTATTTATCATTATACATGTATTGTTATTATTATTTTAACTCTTAATTTGGCAAATAATAACACATTTTTATGATGATGATAGTAATAATAATAATAGTAATAATAATAATTTCAATAATGGTGTCCCCTTCACACCTCCCCACTGTAGTGTGCCCTCCCCCACCATAGCCTTATGGCTTGAGTAGTGACTCTGCAGGGTTACTATAGAGGACTGGGTTGCTGAGTGGCTGTTGTTCCCAGTAGCTTCCACTTTGTTATAATCCCACTAACAGTTGAGCGTGGAATATTTAGTAGCCAGGAAATGTCCCGGTGGACTTATTGCCCAGGTGACCACCTATCACGGGACCACGCTTGGAGCCACCGAGCTCCTGAGAGTGACCCATTCTTTCACCAATGTTTGTAGAAGCCGTCTGCATGCCTAGGGGCTTGATTGTATACACCTGTGTCCATGGAGGGGAATTGGAACACCTGAATCACATGATATGGAGGGGATTGGAACACCTGAATCACATGATATGGAGGGGATTGGAACACCTGAATCACATGATATGGAGGGGATTGGAGCACCTGAATCACATAATTGGGAGGGGATTGGAACACCTGAATCACATGATATGGAGGGGATTGGAACACCTGAATCACATGATATGGAGGGGATTGGAACACCTGAATCACATGATATGGAGGGGATTGGAACACCTGGGATCACATGATATGGAGGGGATTGGAACACCTGAATCACATGATATGGAGGGGATTGGAACACCTGAATCACATGATATGGAGGGGATTGGAAACACACATGATTGAGGGGATTGGACCTGATACATGATATGGAGGGGATTTGGAACACCTGAATCACATGATTGGGAGGGGATTGGAACACCTGAATCACATGATATTGGGAGGATATTGGGACATTGGAGGGGATTGGAACACCTGAATCACATGATATGGAGGGATTGGAACACCTGAATCACATGATATGGAGGGGATTGGAAATCACCTGAAATATTACATGATATGGAAGGGATTGGAACACCTGAATCACATGATTGGGAGGGGATTGGAACACCTGAATCACATGATATGGAGGGGATTGGAACACCTGAATCACTTGATATGGAGGGATTGAAAGGGACCTATGGAGGGGGATTGGAACACCTGAATCACATGATATGGAGGGGATTGGAACACCTGAATCACATTATATGGAGGGATTGGAACACCTGAATCACATGATTGGGAGGGGATTGGAACACCTGAATCACATGATATGGAGGGGATTAGAACACCTGAATCACATGATATGGAGGGATTGGAACACCTGAATCACATGATATGGAGGGGATTGGAAAACCTGAATCACATGATATGGAGGGGATTGGAACACACATGAATCACATTGGAACACCTGATATGGAGGGGATTGGAACACCTGAATCACATTGATATGGAGGGGGATTAGAACACCTGAATCACATGATATGGAGGGGATTGGAACACCTGAATCACATGATATGGAGGGGATTGGAACACCTGAATCACATGATATGGAAGGGGATTGGAACACCTGAATCACATGATATGGAAGGGGATTGGAACACCTGAATCACATGATATGGAGGGGATTGGAACACCTGAAATTGATATGGAGGGATTGGAACACATGAATCACATGATATGGAGGAGATTGGAACACCTGAATCACATGATTGGGAGGGGGATTAGAACACCTGAATCACATGATATGGAGGGGATTGGAACACCTGAATCACATGATTGGGAGGGGATTAGAACACCTGAATCACATGATATGGAGGGGATTGGAACACCTGAATCACAATGATATGGAGGGGATTGGAACACCTGAATCACATGATATGGAGGGGATTGGAACACCTGAATCACATGATATGAAGGGGATTGGAGCACCTGAATCACATGATTGGGAGGGGATTGGAACACCTGAGTCACATGATATGAAGGGGATTGGAACACATGAATCACATGATTGGGAGGGGGATTGGAATACCTGAATCACATGATTGGGAGGGGATTAGAACACCTGAATCACATGATTGGGAGGGGATTAGAACACCTGAATCACATGATATGGAGGGGATTAGAACACCTGAATCACATGATTTGGAGGGCGGGGCCAATGCATTTGGCAATGTAGTGTATATGTGCCGTGGTGGAAGGATCAGTCGGGTGATTTGATGCTTGAAGGTCGCCATTATTGGGATCATTCCACAAGTGTACACATTACCTTGCATGGACTTTCTTTCATTTGTTGGGCTGTGTATTTACCTGAATATACGGATTTATCACCTTAGCAGCGCGGCATACGTGTTGACGCGTTTCTATTTATTTGGCTGCCCGGCACCTTTTATGTGCTGCAGATTTTTCACATTTTTTTTTTCACAAGTTTGTTTCAGTTTCCTTTTACACGGTGAATTTTTTTTTCATTTATTAGAACTCCAAACTTCATGGCGTCGTGCGTCTGGCTTTCTGGAGGAATTGAAGGAACTGACCTCGTCTCCCTGCGGTTCACTCAGCCTCTTCCCTGCGACAACTAGAAAAAGATACATTAAAAACTTTCCGCGGGACTAAAAGAAAAAAAATCTTTTGCTCTTTCCTCAGCCAAAGTCCTGCAGAGTTTCTCCATTTAGAAAGAAGAATGATGAGAGAGGTTCGGTTTGTTCAGGCGGCCTGCGATTCGTTCCTCAAGCCATGTCAGGGAACCTAAAAGAGCCGTGCCGTATTCCGCATCCGTGACGGGGACAAATCTATGGAAAGGTGCTTTGTAAACTGAAAGGATCGTTCTTTATCCCCTCAGAGATCCCCCCCCGGTCTGTGGAGAGATTCCTGGTTTATCAGCAGAATTCTGGGAAACACCCCCTGAACACGGGCAAATAACGGCAGCTAGATGTTCAGAGATGTTTCACGTTTATTAGACATTTACTAAAACAAGGAATATAGAAGAAGAGCGAATTATTCAAAAATTCGATTCGAAGCTGAAAATTTGCGGAAGAAATTCGATTCGATGGCGAATTTATTCGTAAGAAATACTTAATAAAAAGGGTTTCTAGGCTTCAGAGGAGAGCCTTTATATTAGTGCAGAACACTGTTCCTTTAACTTTAAATGCCCCTTGGAGTCTGCTTGGGGAAGAGAGAATAAATACTGTCAGTCAGTATGACATGACAGATGAGTGCCGTCCCATCTTAGAAATCACGCACACTTCACGACATTTGGGAGTCATGGGGCACGACCGAAAGAAGAAGAAGAATGAAAAGGCAAGAATGAAAAGACGAAGAATGAAAAGAAGAAGAGAAGAATGAAAAGAAGAATGAAAAGAAGAAGAATGAAAGAGAAAAAGACGAAGATATGAAATAGAAGATGAATGAAAAAGACGAAGAAGAATGACAAGAAGACAGAAGAAGAATGAAAGAAGAACTGAAAAGACAGAAGATGAAAAGACGAAGAAGAATGAAAAAGAAGAAGCTCAAGAAGAATGAAAAGAAGAAGAAGAAGAATGAAAAGAGAAGAAAGAAGAATGAAAAGAAGAAGAAGAAGAATGAAAAGAAGAAGAACGAAAAGGAAGAAGAAGAGAATGAAAAAGAAAGAAGTACGAAAAGATGCAAAGAAGAAAAGAAGAAACGAAAAGATAAAAGAACGAAGAATGAAAAGAAGAAGAATGAAAAGAAGAAGGAGAAGAATGAAAAGAAGGAATGAATGAAGACAGAAGGAAGAATGAATAAAGAAGGAAGAAGCTAAGAAGAAAGAAGAAGACCTGAATAAGAAGAAAAGAAGAACCCTATGGAAGACACGAAGAAGAAGAATGCTTTAAGAAGAAGAATGAACACTAGAATGAAGAAGAATGAAAAGAAGAGAAGAATGAAACTGAAGAAGAAGAATGAAAAGAAGAACGAAGATGAAAATTGAATGAAGAAGAATGAAAAGAAGAAACGAAGAGAATGAAAAGAAGAAGACGAATGAAAAGAAGAAGAAGCAAGAATGAAAGAGAATGAAGAAGAATGAAAAGAAGAAGAAGGAAGAGAAGAAGAATGCCAAGAAGGGGTACGTAAAGAATAAGTTGAAGAAGAAAAGAAGAGGAACGAAAAGTAAAAGAAGACAGAAATGAGGGGGAAGAGACAGAATGAAAAGAAGAAGAAGAGGTGGAGGATTGAATGACAAAGGAAGGAAGGAATGGTAGATGAAGAAGAGAATGGAAGAATTGAGGTAGCTGTGGGTTGGAATAAAAGAAGAAGAACGAAGAATGAAGGAAGGGTGAATTGGAGTAGGACGACAAAGAGAATGACGGAGCGCGTGGAAGAATGGAGCAGAATGCGAAGGAAGAAATGAAAAGAAGGAAAGACGAATGAAAAGTAAGTGTGAAAAAGTGATGGGGAGGATCATGCAAAAAAAGAAGAGGAGAGGAGGGAAGTGTAAAGAGGGGAATGAAAAGGATAAGGAGAGGGAGGATGATGACATTGGAAGGGAGAGGGGAATGGAGGTAGGGGGGAGAGGGTGAGGGAGGGAGTGAAGAAGGAAGAAAAGAAGTGAGGGGAGGGTGGAGGGATGTGGAGAGAAATGGAGAAGGAGGAAGTGGCTGAGGATTGTAAGGGAATGAGAGAAAGGATGTAGGACTGAGGAGAGTATGCGATGACATGGATTCCTTTAAAATACAAGCCTTAGGATTATGAGAGGTTGATAGATGTGGGGGATGTTGAGATGAGGGCTGTAGAGGATGTGACAGGAATTTGTTGGTATGAGAGAAGTGTGGAGATGAGGGAGAGGGGATCTGTAGAGACACTTTTTGGGGGTTAGAGATAGGGTGTAGTTGTGTTGAGTCGCCGATCGGGGATTGTTATTATGGGTTCGTGCAGTGATTAGTTTGTCTGTTTGTGAGGAGGCTTCGACAGTTGTATCGAAAAATTGGGGGATGAGGGATTATTCGTGAGTGAGGGATGTGGTGAGTTGATGAGGTTGTAGGATTACGTGATGTTTTGTTATAGGTAGGATGTACTAGAATAATAAGGGTGGGGGGAGGGGGCGGAGAGGAGAGGGAGGGTGAAGATATTACGAGTGTGAGTATGTTACTAGGATGTATGTAGTTTACTATATGGAGGGAGGACTAAGAGGATGAGGATGATATTTAGGTATTTATTTGTGATGGTTATTTTCATAACTGTTTTTGAGCTTTATTGGTGAGTTGTCAGATGCTGGACATGTATTGCAATATTTCTGAGGTCATGTTATGTTGTATATTAAATTATTTGCCCCCCCATCATTGAGACAGACTAAGGAGGAGAGGGGACATTAATTACTTGCACCGTATTATCTGCTGTGATTTTTTTTATATCTTAATGGGCGGATGGGTCTGGGATGTTTGTAGATTTAGGAGTGCTGGCTCCCATGGCGAGTTAAAACTGTAGTGAGGTGAGGTAAAAAAAAAAATATGGTGAGTCCGGACCGAGTTGTGATGAAACAACTAGATTGTGGACAGGACACTCTGTGAAAGAGGATCCACGATTTTATGTGATATGATTTTGGCGATTGTGACCTCATGGATGAGTAGTAAGCGTTAGGATGTCACTTGTGTTGCATCATCGCTTACTATACGACTGTGAATAGAATCTCCGCTGAATGAGTGTCACAGAGCGTATGACTTATTGGCTGATGCGTAAGGCGACTTTGTCTGTACAAAACAGTGCGATGGATTGGGTGGTTGAGGTATGACATGCTTTGATTCCCTCTATCCTGATGGGAGCTAACACTGTGTGCTTTCAATGACTTGTTAATCGGGTCGTTCAGACAGAGGGAAAGAGATGTCAATGCTGGTAGCGTTTTTACATTTCCAATATGGGTGTAAAAGCAATCAGTGTTATCCTGATCCAAAAAAAAAAAAAAAAATCTTATCAGGTTTCTCTAGTAAGTGCATGTGATCCCATGGTATGCAACCCCACAATCCTCGTGCTTTACGCGGTGGACAGTCATGCTAAAAATCCACCCAAAAAAAAATAATGATGTCAATCACATTAAAATGTAAGCATAGGCCAGTGCCTATACTTCGGTTCCGTGGTTGTAGGTTTGTCGAAAGTGTGTAATGTTCAACTCCTTCCACTGTGCCATCATCTATTAATGCTAGACGGACAATTACCTTTTGAGTCTGTAGCATGGTGGTGTGATGAAATGTTATCTTGTTGTGCATTAACTGTGCGTTATCTGAGTGAATGCACTTGGGGTTCTTGGTGAAGGCGGGTTCTTGTGTGAACTGTTCGCGTGTTACTTGGTGAAAATGAAATTTGTTAAATATCCCAGCGGTCTGAATAAATACCTACCAAATAAAGCTTGTATCTGGTCTGAAAAAAATGTGATTAAAAAATTGCTGAAGTCTGTGTTACAGGTGTTGTCTTGGGGCGAATCGTGGTTCTTTGTGTGATAGCGGGGTTTCTGTTTTGGTTGAATTGTTCTTTGGGATAGTGTGGTTCTTGGTGAAATCTAAAAAATTGTTCCTGGAAGTGTGATGTCGGGTTATAAAAGTTCTGGTGGTGGGATATCGTGTGTTAGCTTGTGGTATCGTGTGTGTTGGGTGTAAGTCGTAATCTTTCTTTTAATTTCTGGACGGAATGGAGTTCTTCGGACGTGTAATCGTGGAAGTGTCTTAGACTGGAAGCTTTGGTGGGTTCTTGGTTGACTTCGCGTTTGTGTGCTTGGTGATAGCTTGTGGTGTGTACTTGGTGAAATCGTGTTTTTGTTCTTAAACGAATCGTGTTCGTGGTGAATCGTTAGATCCTATCAGTGACACCATTGTATTATTCTGGGCTGATCGTGTTCTGGCGTGAGGTCAGCTTATGTTCCGCCTGTGAATATCCATGTCTTAGTGAAGTGACTCGTGTTCCACTGTGTTGACTGGTGGACGCTGCTTTCTGCATGTGCCCCCCTGATCGGTTGACTTCTCTGGCGGATATATCGGAGCTTCTTGGTGACTCCGTGGTGTCATCTTGAGCCTGACGACAGTGAAGAGAGGAGCAGATACGTGTGGCGCTCCTTGGTGAAATGGTGTTCTTGAGTGAATTTCACAGGTCTTGGTTGATATCGGTTCTAGGTGTGAATCCGTTTTGTGTCTTGGTCAGATATTCGTGTTCTTGGTGAGATGTGCGTGTTCTTGGCCGAATCCTGTCA